CATATAGTACTAAAACAGAACCTAGCAACGTTATTGGCCGCCATCTAAGTTATTACAGAATTTATGGAAAATATCAATAAATGTCAATAAAACAGTTAAAAGATAAGGACATAAAACTGTAATAACTCGGGCAACAGCAAAACAACCAAGTCTCTATTAATAGTCATATGATATATGCTCATAATAATAGAAGACAAATACATCATCATCACCAACATATAGTAAAATACTTTTAAAAATATAAACTCTTAAAAACAGAACAAAAATTCGAAGTGAAAAATATATATTACCTTTTACAAAGAAGTATGCCGAGTAGAGCAAATATAAGAGAAGACCAAATATTGGAAGTGAAAAAGAAACAGATCATCAAACAGGTAGTAAAAAGAGTCTAATACGATTAATACTTTTTAAGTGCTGTAACGGAAACTCTTTAGAGTTACTATTGTAGGATAACAGATGAGGCTAAAAAGGATAAAATATAAGACGTAAAGAAAAAACATAAAACAAACACATATATATAAACATGGGGTAACTGAAATTTTGATAGAAAACTAAAACCAAAACACTTAAAAAAATACAAACAAAAGTAATGATTATACTATAGCAAGTGTCATTAAGCATGTATCGCACCGCAAAATACAACCAATAAAAAACTAACAGTAAAATATTAGATTTGCATTCAACAGAAGTGAAAGAAATAAATTATACGTGTCATGATATAACAATAAATAACCTTGCGCAATCTCGTGTATAAACACCTGCAAATAAATATCAATTAGAATAATAGATATATTACGACATATGTCATCAAGTATGAGTTTCACCGCAAAATAAAACCAATAGATAACTGACAGTAAGATATTAGATATATGTAATACAAAACAGGAAACAAAATTGATTATACGCCTCAAACTATAACAATTATAATAAAAAATCAGAAATAACTAATAAAAAAAATTATAAAAAGTGAGAAAAATGCGCATTGAAAAAACTTACGGAAATAAATCCAAAATGATAGCAAAATAAGAAAGAGGAAAAATAAAATATATACAGATAATATATAATAATACAAAAAAGAGCTTTTAAAAAATAACGAAAGAATGGAAAAATTAAGTGGCAAAGGAACAAATTGCAGCAGCAGATTTCAAAGAAAAAAACCCAAATATAAACAAAATATAGAAGAAACAGTAAAAAAATACATACAAAAAAAATACCAAAATAAGTAAAGAAAAATTAAAGTAGCAAAATCATTAAAAAAAATACCGAAAAAGAAAAAAAAAATGAAACAGGTCGAAAAAAAATAAAAAATCAAAAAATTTGTAAGACACAAAAGGAACACAAAATCAATACAGAAACATATCTCAACAAAAAATACAAAAACAGATCTGGAAAAAAAATACAAAAACAAATGTCGACCAAAAAAATTCCAAAAAAGAGAAAAAATCAAAGAGAATAAACAATAACATAATATATCATATCAGGAAAAAACACAGAAGAGAAATTTTTAATAGACAAAATAGAGATAAAATCAGATCTGTGAAGAATCAAAGAAGAAATGCAAAAAAGGAAAAACTTTCAAAATATATCAGATCATGAAAAAAAGAGGAAAGGAAAAAAAGGCACAAAGTACAAATTTGCAAAAGGAAAATGCAAGATTCGGAGAAGTACTGCAAAGAGCCAAAACTTTCAAAATATATCAGATCACAAAAAAACAAAGAAAGAAAAAATAAGTAGAGAGCAAAAACTTGCAAAGGAAAATAAAAGAATGGGAATTGTAGACGGTGGAAGAAAATGAGGAAAGATACATACTATTCCAGCTGTTACCCATCTGCAAAAGGAAAAAAAATTTTAAAACGGATATGGGCAAAAAATACAAAAACAAATGTCGACAAAAAAAATCCCAAAAAACGGAAAAAATCAAAGAGAATAAACAATAACATAATATATCAGATCAGGAAAAAACACAGAAGAGAAAAATTTTTAACAGACAAAATCAGATCTGTGAAGAATCAAAGAAGAAATGCAAAAAGGAAAAACTTTCAAAATATATCAGATCACGAAAAAAAGAGGAAAGAGAAAAAAAGGGCACAAAATAAAAATTTACAAAAGGAAAATGGAAGATTCGGAGAAGAAATGCAAAGAGTCAAAACTTTCAAAATATATCAGATTGCGAAAAAACAAAGGAAGAAAAAATAAGCAGAGAGCAAAAACTTGCAGAGGAGAAGAAACGAATGAGAATTGTAGACGGTGGAAGAAAATGAGAAAAGAAACATACTATTCCATCCAGCTGTTACCCATTTGCAAAAGGGAAAAATTTTTTCTTTAAAAAAAAAGTTAAAGACGAATACGCAAAAGCCAACCAGAAGAATGTATTAAGCAAACATAAAAGGTTAAACCGGTAAATACACATTTATGAGGGTAAAAGAGGAAGTTCACTGTTCATAACACTGTACAGTGAACAGTAACTCCGAAGTGTCCCCTTTAGAATATTTAGAATATGCTAAATATATATTGTTACAGAGAATATCACAGTTATGTGATCACATTATATTTAAAATGATACTGGTTGATATCCGGTCACGGTCACGATATCAGTATCTGACTTAAACATCTACTGTTATCCGACAACAAAAGCAGTATCCAATCGGGATACTCCATATTATCCGAAATACCTAAAAATTCAATATTTTCCATGATTATCGGCATCCACCTGGATACCAGATGGTTACTAATCGGTAGCTATCAGTAACCACCATTACTGGCGGCAGTGCCATTGCCAGAATAACAAAAAAAAAAACACAAAAAAATCAATGAAAAAATCCTAAAATCTGGGAGAGAAGGGAGAGGAAGTCACGGCTGGGAGGTGAGAGAGATAAAAGAGGAAAAAAAAAATCTTAATTTACGCGGGGGTATTTTAGACTTATTACTCTAAAGTTTATTATGCCGCATAGCATAAAATGAAACAGTTTTAGGTACACTAGTAAATGTCAATCTACTCTTAAAATCTGCGAGGTTCTCTAAATATCTCTTTTTATAAAGGAAAAATAAAAAAATGAAAAAAATCTTAGTCGAGCTTGCCTGACCTTGTCTGGTTAGATTTTTGGGCCTAAATCTCTTGCCCTCGGCTTAGGTCGGTCCCAAAGAGCTATTCTTTGAGTTAGTCCGTTTAGTCCAATTGAAATTAACAGCTCGATTTTTGCAGTTGTTTCTGCAAGAAATCTATTCTCGATTGACAATTTTCACCTGCCTGCCCATCGTAAATTTTTTTTATCTTGGTGATGATTTCTCTATCATTTTACCGAGATGTGTGTATATCTTCAACATAAAAGTTTGTTTTTCATGAGGCAAAAAAAAAAAAAAATTTGTTTGTTTCATATAGCAGTAGTTTGATTATGGTTTGGCCTGCCTTTTGCCATTTAGGTTTTGTGATTCAGATTTATGCTATACTTTTATAGGTATTCCGATTTAAGTCAACAATTTTATTGTAGTTAAAATTTATATCACCTATATCCATCTTTGATTAGTTTATTTGTGTAGCACAACTCAAATGCTCCAATATTCTTGAGTAACTCCGAAACTGAAATATTTTCGTTTCATTCCTCAAAACTTCTCTTTTAGTTTTTCTTTGGTGATTTTCGAAAGATAAATAATGAAAAGAGCAACGTCTAACCTGCATATAAGAACTTCCACTGTTTCTCCTCGTAAATTGGAGTATTCAACCCAATATGATCTTTCTTTTTAGGGCAATAACAATCTTTTTTAAATCATCCTTTTATTAAATGTCCATTGTTTTATTTAATCAAGAAAATCTCTCCTTTTCTTTAATCTAAAATCGATAATATGTATGACAGAAATATGATATATTGCACGTACATCAATGATTAATCAATCAATATTTATCAAAAATCAATCATAAGATTTAGGAAAGTCAATTTTTTTAATTTAACAAAACTAGAAACATCGTAAACTTTAAACAAAGGATATCCCCCAGAATTTCTCAAGAAACAAGTAAACCATGAGCATAAAAACGAACATATGATGATTCAAAACATTGCTTGTATTTTGTCTAAATATTGTTCCCTTTTTATTATGCAAATGTCCAAAATACCATATGTATTTATACAATCAGGCTCAAAATATTCTCTCAAGCAATCAAATCTTTTAAAGTATCAAGATTACCCTTCACCACCTTAATTAAAAAGAATTTAAAATATTATTAAACACAAATATGAAATAAAATCAATTTTAAAATTAAAAACCCTCAGAATAAGTATTTGTATGATTGAAGCATGTATTTGAACATTTTAAATTTATTAGTTAGTTTTTAGTTGTCATATTTAAAATAACATCTATACATTGTGAAGGATAATCTTCACATTTTAAATTTTTTTAAAAAATTTAATCGCTTCAGAAGGTATTTCAGTCTGTTTTATAAATCTAGTGTTATTTATATAAAACATATGGTATTTTTCCTTTTCTTTTAACATGGAATAATTATGTTTCAAGTTTCTTTTTTTTATTTATTTATTTTGAGAATGAGGCGTGTACTCAATAGTTAAATAGACTACGCATATCAATATTGCCTGTTATCTAATTCCCGTTTGGTAAATCCCTTAAATTTTTCTTTTTTTTTTTACTAAAAAATAATAAAACAAGTAATATATGCTAGAGGAATTAGAATTCATTGAGGACACCATATATATATATATATACATATATATCAAAATCTGATCAATCCTATTGAAATTAGGACAGGTTCCAATTCCTTGAAATAAAATCTAACTCGGATTCAGATTCAGACTTAGAAAAGATTATCAACAACCTCTAGAATTTTTGTATATATATATATATATATATATATATATCAGCACACCGTTATGAAATTCAATACTGCAAAGAAGCAAAAAAGCATTCGTCCGAAATCATAAGCAAATTAAGTGATCATTAAGACTTTGAAGAGATAAAGGAAAGCTGGTACTGTACGCGTGAAGATTTCATACATGGAACCGATTCTTTGCGTTAATGGCTGCGGCTTCTTCGGAACAACGGAGAACCGAAACATGTGTTCCAAGTGCTACAAAGACTTCCTCAAGCGAGAGATCATAATACCGAGTTCGAACTCAATCACAACCGTCGATCAACCTGATCACGCATATTCTTCTTCAACGTCCCAAGACGACGTAGATGTTTCTGAAGTGACGGCTCTGATGGGGAGTTTGACGGTCGGGAAAAACAGGTGCAAGAGCTGCAACAAGAAGGTCGGGCTGACGGGGTTCCGGTGCCGGTGTGGGAATTTGTTCTGTGGAAGGCACCGGTTACCGGAGGCTCATGCTTGCAACGTCGATTACAAGACCGTTCGTGGCCGGAATGACCAAGATTTGGCTGAGATCATCAAGGGTGATAAGTTGATGTGGAGAGCATAGAGATGTAGAATATTCCTTCTTTTTTTTTTTTTTTTCCTTCTTTTGGTTTCCAAATACTATAGTTTATGGTTTCAGTTCTTTTGTTTGTAATCGTCAAATATATTTTTTTTCAATTGCAGATTATTGTGATAAGAGAAAAACCATTGTGATTTTATGAGTTGGATGGTGGTTAGAATTTTATACCATGAGTTCAGAAAACTTGGATTTCTCTTACTATTGTTCTTTCATTTTTTGAGTGTTGGAGTTGTATAATTGGGTTATTATCAGGGGTAGTCCCTGAACTACAAGAATTTTGTTATTTTTGATACTCGAATGTTTAATTATCTTGACAAATTGTCCTTTGAATTTTTATTTTTTGTATTAATTACTCACGTAACCAATTTTCTTGATAACACATCACTTGATCAAGAATAATATGTTAATGGGTACTAATGGTGTTTAATATTACATACTAATACAGAGTGAATTGTGTAGCGTGAGTCCTATAAGTGAAGTCAACTCTTTATTATTTGTGGTTCTCAATACTAATGTTGCCCATAGATAACTTTTTTTTTCCTTAAACAATCAATTTCAGAGAAAAAAACTGGATAATTTTGTTCCAATAGAAAGGCTATATGTAGCAAATTGAAAATTTGCATCTACAACTCTATTGAGTATTTAAAAAAAAAGAAAAAGAAATAAAAAGATCGTAAAACTCCAGTAGTCTTAGAATCTAGAGAAACAAATAAACTTCTATATTAACAAGCAAGTTTTTTTGCACTTCAGGTTCTCAAATTTTTGGTCTTTGGTGCTTGTATTCCCATTTTGAAAATTTAGATATTGGGTCCATAAACACACATTTTCTTAACATTTTGGTCCTCATTTTGATAATTTGGACAACTAAGTCCCCACACTTCTATTTTATTGACACTCAGGTCCTTATTTTGAAACTTTGGACAACTTGGTCCCAAATCTCTAATAGAAAAATCAATTGACTTACAAAAATCCCATCAAAATCAAGATGTTGCAATCTATCCTCACTCGTGTTATTTTAGAAAATGTAAGGATTTTAAGGGATAAATATGAGAAGAGTAATGAGTGATATTTTAATGTTATAATTATTTGGTAGGATGTATTAATCAGAAAAATATAGCTTATGAAAGATTCAAGATTTTTTATATCTAAGATCATTATTGATGTCCAAAGATGACATAACACTCTTAGAAGCAGACCGTTGGAAAGAGATGTCAGACATACGAAGGAAGTTGATTGTTTAGAAAAGACAGAGGACGACATGAGGTCGTCCATACCTGCAATCATAGGCAAAGATGGTTCTGGGAGCGTTTACAAAGTCGAGGCTACGAAAGACGGGAGATTCGTGAGATTAGCTCCAGGATTTGCTATTTGTAATTCGAATATATGAAATTTGAATAAGAGAATCGTCTTGATTGATTGTAATCTATATTCTTTTAAGAAACTATCTTAAAGGATAAGGAAAATATCTCCGAATTAAATAGGGAAACAAGCAAGGGCGGTGATCAAGGATAAAAATAAGGGATTGTAGGTCAAAAAATCTCCAGGTCTTATTTGGAGCATTAGAGCGTGTATTTTCCTCAAAAATAATGAATTTTCTCTCATCCCCACAGTAGACGTAGCTTTCAAACTAAGGGTAAACCACTATAATTCTTGTGTGTTCTTACTGTTTTATTGTTTTTAATTGTGTTTTAGATCATTAAATTCATGCAAACCATTTAAAATTTTATTATTATTTTGTTGACGAATTTTTACCATCAACGATTAATATTGATTTTTCTCTTGGTTTTTTACTAAGATTTTTATGATAAATCATTAGACCTATGCCTTAGAGCACCAAGCTCAAATTTGAGTCCTCATTCTTCAAAGGTTGATGGACCGATTTCTAAAAAAAACCAATGGTGAGCCATTCTAATTTCTATCTACCTTATTTATCTATTCCTTCTTACGAAATAGGCCACTCTACCATTCTTCATCAAATTATTCCTTCCACCACTTCTTTCTTCTTTTCTATCCTACCAATTACCGAACATAACTTAAGTGCAAAATATTTTGTATATTGTTTATCCTTGAAAACTATAATATTTCACTTGGTGTAACTTTTGTAAATCCATTTAGTATCAAGGATTAAATTTATCAAAAATACTAACATTCAAATAGTAATATGTTAATGATAACATTAAAAATTTGGAGACCAAATTAGTATAATACTCACAGTGAGCCTATTTAAATTGGCTTAAAAAAGGGTTGTTTTGGCTATTTTTGTATAAAAGTTACTTTTGAGTCTATTTAAATAGACACTTTTAAAGTGTTTTTGACTTTTATAAACTATTTTGAAATAAGTTACTCTTTAATACTTGTAAAAAAAGAACTTCTAAAAATCTTTTTTATTTACATTTTTACCTTTTGTTCGTGAACAACAAAACAAATATGTTTATGCTACATTATATTTTAGGATTAATTTTATAATTACTCTTGTTTCAAAATGCCTATTAATTTTTTAAAACAATTCAAAATACCTCCTATATAAAAAAACGTAGCAAAATGCTCCTTCTATCTAAATCCATCTATATTCCTAACAGATTTGCTTATGTGGCATACATTAAAGTTAATTAATGCCATTAAATTCTAATTAAGTGTATCAAAATAATTAAATATTAAAAAGTAATAAAAAAACTTTTATTAAAAAAACATAATAAAAAACCTAAGACTCGTCTTCTTCCTATCACTAGCAGACCCAAAAACAAAAACCTAATCAATTTGCATAGCCAAACACCTCACACCTACACCCACAGAAGTATCATCGCGGCGGCGCCTACCACAACCCGCGACTCCGTTGCACCGCCGTGACCCCGCCGCACCGCTAGTGCCGAGCCCAGCAATCCACTGCTATCCCATCCCCTCTAGCGAACCCATTTCATAATATTGCTGCTACCCACACAAAACCAGCCCGCCGCCTCCTAATCGCGCCGTCTCGTTGCGAACCCAGCCAATCCGTCTCACGAACGAACTACCCCTTTCGCGATTTCAGCTGCCTCCAAGCCTTTCGCCAGCGAATTTGAGAAGTTTCGGCATGGTTGGTGGTGGTAATCTGCCTCTGCTACGATGGTGGCCAAGTGACGAATTCGACGGTTCGTTTCTCGGCATAATGGAGAAGATCAGAGCCATTCTTTGCTTTGTTCTTGTGTTTGTCTAAACAGTTTTGAGAGCAAAAGATGGGAAAGGCAGAGGGGAGAGTTGGGTTTTTTTTTCTCATTTTTTTTTTTTTTTTTTTTGAGAATTTTTATGCTTGTTCACTTGTATTTAATTTGAGTTTATGTTTAATTGTATACATTTGAGTTATGATTTGAAATGTAAATCTCTTTGAGTTTATATTTAGGTAGGTTAAAATTTGAATTTCTATTTAGATAATATTTTAATAAAAATTTAATGATGATAGAAAATTTTAATAGGATATATGGGTGATGTTTTATTTATCTCTTTATTATAAACGTATAAAAATAATTTTAATTAGAATTAAAACGAAAAAATTATAGCGTTTTTAAGAAGAAAAAAAATACTGTTTATTAATTTTAGTTTGAGTTTAGAAATTTAAGTCGAAAGAAAAACTTAAATTCAGATTTTAATCTTAAACTCAAGTTAAAATTTAAATTTAAATTAATTTAAATTTAAATTTAAATTTTACAAAAGAATATAAATTTAAATAAAGTTGTAATTTGAGTTTAAATTTTTTTAAAATTTAAGTGTAAATGAATAAGTCATTTGAGTTTTGTCATTGTTTTTTTTTTTTTTTTTTAGTACTTCCATGGATCCGAAACAAACGAGGGATTGCTCTTTTGCCAACAAAGGAAAAAAAAAAGTATTGCTGATGATCGATCACCATTTCCATTTGGTGTTGTATCCTGAGTGGGAAATGCAATTCGATTTTTTTTTTAATTGAATTGGATCTCAGATTTGAATGAGTGTATTAATTTTTTTTTTTTAAAAGCAGGTTTTTTCAGTTTTTTCATTGGTTTTGTAACATTTAATCTTTTTTATACATTTAATTAGAATTTAATGATTTTAGTTCATGTTTAATTGCACACCAAGTCATCAATTCCATACGGAATCAAACGGATGAGGCATTTCGATTCATTCTATATAAATTAAGATGTATTTTAAATTGTTTTGAAAAATCAATAATACTTTGAAATAAAGTAAATAATTTGAGGGATATTTATGACAATAATCCTATTTTTTATAATAAAATGTGCTTTTGATTTATTTATCTAAATAAATTCAAAGGCTTTAAAAAAAAAAAAAAGAGCTCTTTTTCATGTATTGTTCAAATATTAATTAAAAAATCTAACTTATACTTTTCTTTTTTTACTATTTAAAAAGTAAAAACACAAACTATTCTAAAATAGGTTTAGGTAACGGTGTTAATAACCTAAACCGGAAAACCAAAGGAACGCCTTTGTTATTGTCTCCTCTGTTTTTATACTCAAACGATACACTGCATTAAATTGTCCTCTAGACGATAGCAAATTTTGAAACATTCAAACGACTCTATAATTTTAGCCCCTGTTTAATTCATTAATTTAAATTTTATTAATTTAATTTTTTTATTTAAATAAAAAATTCAAACTGTATGATTTAAATTGTAGTTTGAATTGACGCTTAGATGTACTATTAAAGTTTTAATTTGAACAAGAAATAAAATTTAAATTTGTGTTTGGTAAGAATAAAAAATAAAGAGAGTGTTCACTTTTTTACTGTTTAAAAATAATTTTAACGGTTGAACTTGAAAGAAAATTAAATTTTAAATTAAATTGTTTAATTCAATTTAAATAAAAAATATAATTTAAATTATATATTTATTAAATATTAATTTAAACTGTATTTATCTTTTAAATTGAGTTAAACTTAACTAAACGGTGAAACAAACGTGACTACAAACCTCTTGGCTTTCGCTACTAATGTCATAAAGTGAAACGCCAGCGAATAAAATGCGCCAGTGCACGTCATACCGTGATGACGTGGCACTGCCGGATTGACGTTTATCCCACTTCACCGTTCCTTCAAAGCATCACAAAACAGTTTTATTTATTTATTTATCTATTTATTATTTTTGAGGTCATCGGGTGGTGGTGGCCATGGCGTTGAGACCCGCCGGAAGAAAGCTCTCCTTCCACATTCTCTCCGAAACCAGTTCCTTCGACGACGCCGACGAAGCTCTTCTCCGTCGTTCAAACTCAGATCCAATTCGGAATCACGATCACCGCCATGACCAATCCGATGAGAAGCAGAAGCTGCATCGGAAGAAACGAAGGAAGCGAAAGAAGGCGACGATGGCAGCGGCCATCAAGTCCCCGATTCCCGAGGATACGATCGCCGAGAATGGCCTCGAATTCGGTTCAGTAACGGACGGTTCTAGAATCGCCGACGCGTTCTCTTCGAGCTACAACTGTTCGAACGGAGTTGAACTGAATTGCGAGGGTTTCGGCGTCGCGAAGGTTGTTTGGCAGGAGAATGGCGGGAGTGTTTCAACGGTGACGACGGTGGTCGCGGAGTCGCCGGGGTTTCAGAATGTGTTTAATTGCGGAGAGTTGAGGCAGAGGAGCGTCAATGGCGGCGGCGGCGGCGGTGATGGAGTCGTTGAAGATGTTGCGTCGCGTGTGTGCGGTGAAGAAAAGGTCGAGAGCGGTGTGGAGGTGAATTCCGCCGGGAAGCAGAGGAACGAGCCGAATGGGAACGTGGTTACAAAATTGGAGACCGCTGAATCGTTGGATTGGAAGCGGCTCATGGCAGAAGATCCAAATTGTGAGTCTCACTGTAAAGTTCCCGAATTTCGTTGCTTTTCCTGTTTTCTGGTTGTTGAAGAAGGAATTGAAGTTATTCTAGCGCTGAAATTGTACCGAAAACTATTACTTGTTGAAGTCTTTTTAGTGAATTTGTTAGCGAAAATGATTATGTTTCAGCCTTTCCTTTAACGAGCACGCGCAGACACTGAAGTGAGTTCAACTACTTATGATGCTTTGGTTTATTTGTCAGACATGTTTTCTTCCGAGAAATCACCATTGAAATACTTCATGGATGATATGTTAAGTGGGAATTCTTTGCGGAATACAACTACTGCGGGTAATGAGAAAGAACGTGAAAGAGTTTATGATACAATCTTCCGATTGCCCTGGAGATGTGAACTGGTAAAATTCAACTGCTTCGTAGTTTTATAACTATTCATTTAAAACAAACCGGTTGTTGGAGGTTTATTATTTATATGGTTAATTGTTTTGTTTGTCTCTTGACAATATTCAAAGTGGGGCTTGACTTTAGCATTAAGATTGATTCTTTTTCCCTTTCGTTTCATGGAGTTGAGTTTCTTTCTTTTTCCAGACATTTGCCTTTCTGGTTCAGATGGGAATTTAACACTTAGTTGATAAGGACTTCTTTAATACAAAAGTAATTTGTTTAAACGGGATATTAAAGTCTAATAACGATTCTCACATAAAAAAATATTTTACAGCTCATAAACGTCGGCTTCTTTGTCTGCTTTGATTCATTTCTGTCGCTGTTAACGATCATGCCAGCAAGAATTCTGATAACCTTTTGGAGACTTCTAAAAACGAGGTTAGTGCATCTTCCTTGCTTTAAAGGATAAAAATGACATGTATTGCTGGGTTATTTACCATTTTATAAATGAAACAAATTATATTTTGGAAAACTAATTAGCTGATGCTTATATGATAATAGAAAGAATGAAGGTTGTTCTCTTCATGTACATGGGGCAGTGAGTTGAGGAGCATGGGCGTCTGTTATGTCCTGCCGTCACTGAATACATGTTTTTTGGTTCATTTAGTTGAGTACTTGAATTTTTGTGCAGTTACCTCATTTATAGAATAGCCTAACCATGCTTGTGGCAGGCAGTTCAAAAGGCCATCTGCAGCAGAGCTTTCTGATTTTGGCTGTTTTTTAATAATGGTTTGTGGAGTCACCCTTTTGGAGCGAGCAGGTTTAGTAAGGATATGCAACTATCCTTTTGCTTTCTCTCAGCTATTCTACTAATTTACCTCAACTTTTCACTGGCATTACCGTAAGTGTATCCTGCGAATTTGACTCCTTGCTTTTTTTGTTTGCTTCAGATATCAGCTTAATATATCACATGATCCGTGGTCAAGGAACATTCAAATTGTATGTGGTCTACAATGTATTGGAAGTAAGTACTAAGTAGTCCCTACAAGTTCATTATTACTGAACCCTATGAACAATCTGTATTTAAAAAAAAAGAAATGTTTTTCTTCTTACCCGGACCAAAATCTTTGCAGAGGCAAAAATAACTAAGGCAAAAGATGACTGCAATTCATTTAATGTTTACCTGCAAAAATAAAGTTCTAGATGGCTTCTCTGTATGCAAGTGACTTTTTTTTTATATGCAATTAATGATTTTATAGAGAAAGCGAGTTGTATTTTTATTTTTCTCTCACACTAGAATGACTTGTAGACAATGGAGACTCGACTTAGGGGTGACGTGTAAGGAATTTGTGCAATGGAAGTCAAAGCTAAATATTGAAGGAGTGTGATGGGCAAGCCGAAGTTTCCCACCTCCACTAAAGAAACACAACTAAGCATGACATTGTCATGGACACATTGTCCAAAAAATTCACAACTAAGCATGACATTGTCATGGACACATTGTCCAAAAAAATTGGCTCAAGCTCGACAATATCAGATGCCATTTGGGCGACTGCTTAGACGCCAACCCGCATGCCTGGTCGGACACTTGCTGAGCAATTGCTACTCAAGCCCTTGTTGTAGCATGTCTTGCAAGGACACTCGAATGACTCCCACGAAGATTCTTCCTCAGTGCCCAACGATGTATTTGGATTGCTCGTATTCTAAGAGAGTCCTTGCACTTAAGTGCACCTTTGGACGTCTTCAGCAAGACCACTGCAAGAAGGGCTTGAGCAGGCGCGCTTTCGAGCTACCTAAGTGGTCAACATCAGAGCATGCCAAGTATGAGCTAATTTTTTCTAAGGATGTGTTTGATCAAAATGTTGTGCCTAGTCGCGAACTGTAGTGGAGTTGGAGAAACTCTCGCTTGCCCATCACATTTCCCTCATTTACTAAGCTTGGACTTCCATTGTCAGATGAGATAATATACACGTTGCCGCTAAATAAAGTCACCATTTTTATGACATTGTCATTCTAGTATGGACTACGACCACCGCTCCACCCATTCCTTCACGAAGCTGTGATCAGTTACAACTTGAGTCTGTGTCAACTTTGTCCAAGATCAATATCGACATTTGATCCTGTACTTGGCAGAAATTGTATTTGGGAGATTTGATGATGGTGGAGTTTAAGATTCTTTACATCTTGAAAAAGACACCCCTAATCTAGAAATGGTAGATTATTAATAGGAAGCTACCATAATCTAGAAATACCAGTTTTGTTCATGACAATCATAAGGGTTGGTTGAGCAGTTAGGCATGTGGTTTGCTATCACATGTTTTTAGGTTCAATTTCTCAGGATCTCTCATGGGGAATAACCAAACCCCTGTTTGGTTGAATTTGTCCATTCCAGATGAAGGCCACAGCCTAAATGAGTGTTTGGTAGCGCACTAAGTTCGAATTTGAAACTTAATTGAAATAGAGTTCAATTGCCCAACACTGAGTATGCAACCTGCCCACCACCTAAATTACAACCATGGGAACCATTTTAACTCAAAAAAATCTATTTTTCTCTCTCTTCTACTACATGAAAACTGAAAGATTCAAAATGCTATTCTTCTTTGTTTCATCTCCAATTGATACGATCATCCTTTTAATGCATTCAATGCAAGAAAGAAATAAAAATCCATCCATATACCCTATTAAAATCTATCGTCAACATTAAGGTTTTGTTAGATTTGTTAGAAAAACCACTAACTTTTCAAATGACTGTTTTCAACATCTATCCAAACACAAATTCAGATTTTATTCTATATTTAGATTGACATTTTATGCGCATATCAAAACATCAGTTCAGATTGCAATTCAAATGATTCTGTTTGGTTGTTCAATTCAAATCAAATCGTTCAAATCACCTGAATTTGAACATGGGAACCAAACAGGCCCCAAGAGTTTTTAGCTCCCAAAGATTGTTTGGTTCGATGGGGGCTCCCATTTTTAGCTCAAGCTTACTAAGTGGTTTGGGGGATTTTTGGGTGAAAAAAAGTTGCTACATAAGAAGGCACAATGCACTTATCACAACTTAGATGATGTTAATTTTTTGGACACTGTTATTAAAAAAATTGCTGGTCTAACATTAATCTTACAACTCGGGGAATTGTTTGTTGTAATAACTGTCAATGTGGTGTGGCCTAAACCTAATAAGGGTATCCTTTTATGTCCTTGCAGATATTCGATAAATTATGTCAAAGTTTTAATGGAGACGTGTTGCAAACTCTATTTAATTCAGCTGAAGGACTTGCAAACTCTTCGTCAGAAAACATGAGCTTCTGGATTTGGAGATATGTGTGTGACGAAACTTTAGCTGTTGCTGCTTCCAATATCCTTTGTTACTGATTATTTTTCGTGTACTGTTGTTAAGGCTGTCTATTAAACTGCTTGAATGTCTAATTTGGCTCCTTAACAATTTATACTTGTTCATTCTTTTATCTTATTAGCTCAGGCAATTACTTTATCGACCTGTATTGTTGCTCACAACAATGCATTGATGGCTTTGTTGGTGTCAAATAACTTTGCTGAGATAAAGAGCAATGTTTTTAAGCGCTTTAGTAAAGACAATATTCATAGTATGGTATACTATGGTAAGTTAGCTCTCTAACTTTTCGTATTTGGTTTATCCTGATGATAATGGGCCCGTTTGGCAGAGCTTTTGCTTTTACTTTTAGCCAGTAGAAGAAGAGAAGCAAAAGTTGTGGCTTTTCAGTAAGTGTTTGGAACAAAGAGCTTAATGGGTCAAAATGATTTTTAAATTTTCTAATAAGCAATAAAAGTGTTGGAATTAAGTTTATAATGCCTTAACTCTGGTATAAGTTTCAAAGTCTATTCATAAGTGATTTTTTTAGAAGTCGCAATTTTTGGCTTTGACTGGAAGCTCTTCTGAAAAGCCAAAGCACTTCTGACAGATCATCCAAACACTTCCAAAAGTAGCTTTTGAACCTAAGAAGCTAAAAATAGCTTTTAGGAAGCTCTCCCAAACAGACCCAATGTATTATTATATTGCTTTTAACGGTTAAAGAAGATAAAACCATTGTTCTCCCTTGTCTTTTCTGATAGAACACTATTGGACAATGCATTCCTTGAAATGGTCTGGTTAATAATGTAACTTCAATGCTGGTGGTTAATGCAAACGGATTCTTTCACGGTTAATGCAGAAAAAATATATACGTTAGTGAAACTTAAGGTTTTCTGAACCGTTTCCTTTTTCATTTATGCCAATTCTGGTTCAGACACTTGGGCATTTGTTGTGGTTGGGTATCACAAGTCCTTTATTCAGTTTATGTGCCTAGGTTCTAACGTAGAAGCACAAATTCCAAACTAAAAACCGGGGGCTGCATACTTTGGTCTAAACTCTTCTGGAATGCTTAAAAATTTTTTTATGCATTCTTCCGTATTTCAAGGTTCAGGTCCTTCTCCTGTCTAATTATTGTGATTGATCTAGTCTTACAATTTTTCTTTTCCTTTTTTTCTTTTATGTCATTGCCTACCAGATTCAGTGGAGAGATTCCATATTTCAGCATATATCTTATTTGTTTTAGCTCAAAACATTCTGGAGGCGGAGGGTCCCTGGTTTGAAAGTTTTCTTTTTGTAAGTTATACCGACTTTCAAATCACCTTCTGATGGAAAACATAATTTACCCCTGTTGCACAGCTTGTCTGACTCCACTTCTTTTGGTAAATACAGAATGCTCTCTTGGTGTACCTTTGTGAAATGGCTGTTGATATCATAAAACATTCATTCATTGCTAAATTTAACGGCATAAAGCCCACTGCATACTCCGAGTTTCTTGAGGACCTCTGCAAACAGGTATATTTTGACACAGTAGAAACTATAACATCATAACGTGTATTATGCTTCTAGTGACAAGAATAGAGGAGATTTCCAGCAGTTACAACATCATAACTTGTATTTTTCTTTTCTATATTTCTGTTTTATGGCAATCTGACTTTTGTTTACAAATGTTCTTAGACTTTGAATATACAATCGGATGATTCCAAGAACATTCTCTCGTTTGTTCCTCTGGCGCCAGCTTGTGTGGTAAGCTCTACTTATACTGCTCTTAACATGGATTCCCTGGTTTTAGAACACACTCTAGAATTTTTTTTTTTTTTTTTGATAATAAACAAAGACCTTATATTGAAAAAAAAAAAAAAAAAAAAAAGATCAATACAAAGGAAGCTGAGGATGAGATATCCTCAACAAGAATCCCACTAAACAAAAATAAAAAGGAAAAAACTAGAAAAAGCAAGACGGAAAAAAAAAAAAAAAACTAAGGACAAAAGCTAACTCCCAATTATAGCCCTCCAGTTGAGACTATCAAATCAAGTGAGAAACCCTTATAGTCTTTGTGCGTAAAGCCCAAAAAAGTGCTGAAAACTGTGCTTTCTCAAAAAGGTCATTGAATCCATTGCTTTGTCCTAAAAAATTCTTGCATTTCTTTCCAGCCAAAGTAATCCTTTATTGGTTATCCGTTATAGTAAGTGAAGTGCGATACTTTCTTGTACCCGTTATGAAAATAGGTGTTGAAAGATGTTATTCTTTTGCATGAAGAAAAGGTTCAAAATGTTTTCTTGAATATTTTATTTTGAGAGCGGCCTTAACGCTAGTGTTGTACCATCTCTACACATCACACCGTGTAGTGAGTATATCGAAATGTGTTAAATGAAATGTATGCAAACACCCCTTGACTTGAAGCATTATTTCAGAATTGCGAATGGACAACGGTTTTCTTAACATTTCTCTATGCATCTATGTGGGGTCGTTTTTATATCGTTATCATTTCTATGCACAATAATATTACAGTTCTAGCTCTAACACTAATAATGGTTTTAGGTAATTCGAGTATTGACTCCAGTATATTCTGCCCACCTTCCTTCCAATCCCTTGCCATGGAAGCTCTTTTGGATTATTCTGCTGTTTTTCATGACCTATGTTATGTTAACCAGTCTCAAGGTGCTGATAGGCATGGGATTAAAGCAGCACGCGACGTGGTATGTCAACAGGTGCCGGAAAAGAAAACATCATCTCCATTCTGATTAATTCAAAGAAAGAAATCTTCACATACATCAGGCTCGACTTCTCTGGCTGCTGAAAGTCGGTCAACGTTGACGGGTTAAAGATCAAACCCACTGGAACTGTCTTTGACCGCATGGTCCAGAAGTTTAGAACAGCATGAGGCAGAGCATCCCCGTCTTATGGTCTTTTGTTGAGTTCTCAGGGTGGTTATCTTTCAATTTTGTTACATAGAAAGGTTACTACTTGTTCCGTAGCGAATTGGCTGTGTATACAAAGGCAACAAAGCCGCTTCAAAATTGCAAAATCGATAATGTCAATTGTCATTTAGCTCCCTGTATTCAAATGAAAAAAGATTGTTGAAGAATTATATGCTTTTTTCAGAGGAAAATAATATTGTTAACAATTTTGTCCACCATTGTCTTTTATAGCTATACTTAGTTCAAACATTGATCGTCTTTTTGTTTTATGCATGCCGTGTAAAGGTGGGTGCTTTTATTTTGATGTCCAAGCTCTATCATGGTCACAGTTTTGTCAATTTCTTTTTTTACAGTAATCTTTTAAGGTATTTGGCTAGATTTGAGAGCCGAAACTCCTCCGGTAGAATTTGCAACAAAAGTCATTCTTTTATTTTGGAGGGTAAATATGTCTCACAACATGGTAAGCCCGACTAATCTATAAGGTTTTTTTTTTTTTTTTTTTTTTTTTTAATATAGTACGATGGGATTCAAACTCTAGACTGTTATAAAAAATCACATTCCTATTCGAAATCTTACCCTATGCATTAAAAGTTGCTAGTAATTTTTTTTTTTTTTTTTTTTTTTGTTAATGTCTTGTGTCGTTATCCAAGTTGCATGGCTGATTTTAAAATTGATGATTTAGTTCAATGATTATCACCCTTCTGCTTTGTATATTATTCGTTATCCTAAGGGATTTTCATATATGGTTGTCTTCTTCCTCGCTTCCTCTTCAACAACCTTCGTTCCTTTATTCTTGGTTCTGTCGAATGTTTTGATCTTCTTGGTAGGGCTTGAGTTGTTTGAATATTTGTTGTCGTTTCAATAATTTGCCAATTGAGATTTGACAAAGAAGGTCCACAGATATGGTATGTCAGTGACTCACTACCATTTTCTCAAAATAAAAATATGGGGAAAAAAAACCATTTAATTAGGGACAATAAATACGGAACATTTGCCAATTTGGAAACTGCCATTTTCTGCAGCCTACCAAAGACTTCGCTACAAATGCCAGAATTCTGCAAAGACAGGCAAGGATATCGGTTCATTCATGTATATAATACTTGTATTTAATATCATTATCATTATAATTATGTTCATAATGTCACTTTTATAAACTCTTTCTCAAGGTTCATAGATTTTCGGAGCAAATATAGGAATCCTTTAATAAGGACATTTTTGGTATTCCAGCTATTTTTTCCTTTTAAATAAAAAAAAAAAAAAGCCAAGTCTAGTTTTTTCACTAAATAATAAAAGATCTTCCTTTTTGCCAAACAATAAAGTTTGGTAATTGCAACCAAAAGTCAATTTTTTTTTTCTTTTTTTTTTTACTAGTTGTCGAGGATTTTTTGTGTCGTAAAAAACTGCTTTTGTGCTGTCAGCCAAGGAGTGAAAGGGTAATACAGCCACTTAAATTCCTAATATTATGGCATCCTATTATGCAGCGACAAATGAAATTTGACTTTCTTTACCAATTATAAAGGAAAAGGAGGGAGATTTTATTTACCAAAAAAGAGAGAAAGAGGAGAAAAAAGTAGATTTTGACTTTTTTTTTCTCAAAAGTGCTGACTTCTGAACAGTGGAGAAAATTAAGGCCCAAGAAAAAGCACAAATTTCTTCCTAATCCATGATTATCGAATTCAGATTCGGATTTTGTTTTGCATAAGATTGATTACTAGCAAATATCTATCCTTACAAAACTGCAACTCTAGAAGGGGGAAAAAAAAAAAAGAAAAAGTAAACGGCTAAAAAATGTTCATGCAAGTAGAACACTTTTAGCTGTACGAAGAATAAGATATGAATCAACTTTCATAATTATGCAAAATAGTTTATTGTACCTATTGGAATAAAATGATGTGAACATTTCATTACACATTCACGTTATCTATATATTCAATGCTTTGCACATCAGTTGCCTAGACCCACGCTGCCTTTTTTATTCCCTTTATTACTATATTTACTAATTTTCTAACATAAAAAATCATATAGTTGAAAAAAGGCTTATGTCAAAAAATGATTTATTTTTTAAGCATGTTTTTAGTAAATTTCTCAAATTTTGTTAAATCATAAAATAATTTTTTTATAGAGAAAAATGTTAATAGATGATTCGCCTAATTAACTAGAATAATCACTTACTGACCAATATCTACTAAGTGTTTAACCAACGTCAATTAATGATTGACTGACAATAATCAATCATTGATTGACCGTATCCGATCCACCAACACATTGCAATGTTAATGGCCACACGCTTTTTTTTTTAAGGAAAAATGATATCTTTTAAAAGAGGTCACCTAATTTCTCTTGAAAAAATCTATTTATTATTTTTAATTCTTTGCAAATCAATTACCTAGACCCACCAATTTTTCCCTTTTTCTCCCCTTTGTTACTACATTTGCTAATTTTCTCACGAAATTTTTTTTTTTTTTAAGATGACATAAAGAGACATTCGTTGAAGAATGAAGAAGTGACAAATACAATAAGTCAAAAATCAAAAGTAGCAAAAAGAAAATAAATGAAATGAATGCTTATATCAATAAAAAAAAAAGAAAATAAATGAAAAAGAAACAGGACAACACGTCTCTGAAAAAAAAAAAAAAAATAACGGCGAGACCATAAACAAAAGGAAAATTATCCCGAAAGTTCCGATTATTTCGGCGGGAATGGAAATGGTGACTCCGTAATGCCATTGAACAGAAGAGGAGAAAATAGTAATTTCACATTAAAAAAAAGATATATGCAACAAAATGAGCCACCTCAAATAAAATATCATTTTCTCAAAAAAAGAAAAAATGTTTTGTTTTTCTTTTTCTCCTTTAACATTCGTATTCTTTTACATAACAAAATTAGTCATGGCCTGTGCTGCTTGCGTAGCCTAATATAAAGGTTCCTTTTCGGAACATTTGACAATATTAATGTGTTATCCACTATAAAAATACAAACGTAGAATAAAAATAAATTCTCACTTTTAATTATTACTCTAATAATACTTTGTGTTTTTTTATTATTAAGGTATGTCATTCTTATAATTTTAAAATAGTATTTTTGAAATAATTGCACTGAATTATTTTTAGAAAAGAAATTATCACTTGCAATTCAATTCAAGTATTTCTGCTTGGGCTTGGGACATGGAATCTTCTTTTTACTCTTTTATTCTTTTTTGAATTAAACAATAAAAATATATTAAACATTGTTTCCAAATATCCTAACATTAGGAAAAAAAAATCCACTTTAACATTGTTGCCGTCGGCATTTAGAATATTTTTATTGATTATTGATTTTGAAGAAATGAAATCGAGGAAATTATTTTGAAAATAATTAAAAGAGAAAAAAGTATATTCTATTTTTTGACTAAAATAACAATATTTATGTCTTAAAAGATGACTTTTCATGCGTTTATTTTATAGTTTTAAATTACTGTTTAAACTTTTTTGTTACAGTATTTTCTCTCATCAAATTTAAATTTATGTTCAAATTTTTTTGTTTAAACTTATAAACCAAGCGGGCACTTTAAATACTCTGACAATACATTTTAATTATTATAGGATATAATATTATATGAACAACAGGCAATTTCATAATTCAGAAAAAGGAGAGGATTAAAGTTATTAATTGTTTAATATAAATGAGTTTTCTTTTTAATGTATTTAACTTGAGCTTTTTTATTCAAAATAATTCACTTGTTCAATTTCATAATAGGAAAAAAAAAA